CACCCTCACTTATCATCTGGGGCTGGTACAATAGGCCAGAAGTGGCCGCAGTACATGAGACTTAGTCCCACCCCACTAGCAATAAAAAAAGTTCACCTCACCTCAGCCAGAACCACTTACTGCACAGCATTCCTCTTTCTGAGGGGAAGAAGAGAGCTCATAGGAGATGCAATGTACAGTTTAACAAGAAGAAATACCTTAAAGGCAAAGATGGTGAACGGGACACATCCTATTGGTGTACCATTTGCACAGTGGATTAGGGTATCAACCAATCCTTCAAAATATTTCATGGTGATGCATTACCACAAATATGACTCAAGTGTATTGTATATATATTTATTATTTATTTTGAAGTTTCTTATGGTATCCAAAACTCTATTATGTGTACATAATTATGGAAATAACTATCTTTAAAATTTTCTGACATTTCCTTTTGTCAGAACTGTAGTACATGTTCATTTCACAAAGTAACAATAATCTTGTGTCCAAATTTGCATGGACACAGTCAAACATACCTCGCATAAGACTTTGTTTTGACTTACTTTCTGCCTTTATTCAGCATTCTTTTCTGACCTTTGGAAAATGATAATAGTGAAAATCAACTAACATACATGATTATATCAGTCGCTGTGGTTTTAGCATGAAAAGTTAAACAGAAGCATGTTTCACCTTCTGCACAAACATCAGTGTACTGTTTTTCCTTTCTTTTACTTAAAAATGATAGTGTTCACAACAGTTTTCTTGAGCCCTTGAACTCAGGGGTTTGCAGGGAAAGAAGTGAGAGCTACTACAATGCTGTGCATGTGTGCCACTCTATCCTACATCTTAAAGAATCACGCTTTACTAAATCCTGTAGAGAGAGCATGCAGCTCATGGTCAATTTTTCTGCCAGGTGAATACTGAGTTCTTTTCCATAGCAGCACTAAGGAGTGTAGGGCCCAGGAAAACTGACACAGATAACACTTTGTATATCTGTATTTCTGGTACCGGCATTACAAAGTTTAATACAGCCATGTGTATCATACTTTTCATATTACAGTGAAGATATACTAAAGTCAAATGTTCACACAAGGAAATTCACGCCTTCTCTGTGATAGTTCAGACTTAGAACCTACATCCAGTAAATGTCACCAAACCTATACTTCACATTACTGTATTTATTTCCATAATTTACACTCTCTCTTACCCACTCCCAAAAAATCCTAAAAATTGTGACATGTAAAATACCAGAATACTATGTTTCAGTATAAAATTACACACAATAGATTAAGTTAGGAAAATTATGGTTGCATATCAGAGACAAAAAAAGCAATTTCCATTATTTTCTGTTTAGTTTGTAAGGTCTTGAGAACTGCTGTTATATTTCTTCATGTCAGACAGACTTCCAATTTTCTGCTTATTACTGCCCATTTATCATTAAGATGACATGGGAACTTATTCAAATGTACTGAATACAATAAGCACCCAATATGAGAAGCCTACTGGGAGCACCATTTACTTTTCATGACAGCTTCTCACCTTCTACCTGCTATCAATATTCTAGGACTGCAGCCAGCCTTTACTGAGTAGGGATCAGTCTGTCTGAACATAAGGAAACAGGAAAATAAGGGAAGGAGAAACAAAAGAATGCTGCCTGAGAGTAATGGGCAGCAGCCACTCCTAAAATGGTCTGGTAAAACATAAGTAGACAGGAGTAACAGAGATAAGAGTATTACTGACACAGACAGTGAACAGGGAAAAGTGAAAGGTCTGGCAATGGTATGTCAAAAGCAGTTAGAGAAGGACTGTGGGAATGCCTAAAATCTCCTGAGCTACACGAGGGCAATGAGGGAAAATAATAACTTTACACTTACAAAACCAGTGGATAAGAATATACAGACTCGGTCACACAGTTCCTTCGTTAACATAGAGACAATAACGACACTTGCTAAAATCTCAACTGATGCATGATTATTACAGACATCCACCATAATGCTGTCACATTGCAGCCAGCTCTCATAATTGAATCTTACACAAAGGTACATGTCTGTCAAAAATTTATTATGGGGCATTTTCTTCTCAGTGTTCAGCAAAGAATCAGATGGTGGAGCAAAAAGGCACAAATATCCATACTGTGTTGCCACATTGCATTCAACTTTATAAACAAGTTTTCCATAAAAATTATGCATCAGTCAAAAACTTATCAAGGAGCATTTTGTCCGATCAACTGATTGCAAGGTGGAGTCAATAGACATGAATTTCTGGACATACTGTATTCAAAATTTCAGCTGTGAAGAGATTTAAAACCATGATGCTTGTCTGATAAAATGGAGAACATATAAATTGAGGGTTGGCACTTCATGAGGTCACAAATTACATAATCAATTCCTTATATGCATAACCATTCTACAACAAAATTCTGGCCAAAAGTTAGAGCTAAAAATATAGTACTTAATTTCTTTTTTGATGACATTTCTTGCCCAAAAGTATTATGAGCAAATGCAGTTATTCAACATCCTCCATAGCTTCTCTGTCTACATATTACAACAGATGGTGTATGACCCTTCTATGAAGCACAGAAAAGGGGGGAAGGATGTGCAGATCTTCAAGTTTCCAGATCAAACCCAGAAAAAATTCTTAATTGTGATTCATACATCAAGATTTCATTCTCAACCTCTAAGAAGTCTCTGACAGTTACTTTAGCTTTGCATAACTGGGTCATGTTAAGAGAGATCAGTGCTGCATTTGCCCAAAAGAAAGACAAAATTCTTCCCCCCATTTTAGTCAGGCCATAACAGTAATAAGCTAGAAAATGAGTGACACAGGAATATGTTTCAAGGTCAGAGGTCATGAGCTGCCATAAGGCTGCCCGAAGTGCCATCATAGTTATGACACAAAAGCAGTGACCCGCTCATTTACAGTATCATGAGATCCTGTGCTAACGCAAGGGCTGCTCGACATAAAAATGACACAGATGTCACAACAAAATAAGTAGTGTCAAATGTGAAAAACCGTGAGGCACCGGAAGTTACAGTCTCTACTTTAACATTATGGTGATTGGTCTTGCATAACAAACAAACAACTGTGAGGCAGCAGGAAATCCCAGAGTCCCCTCAAAGTTTATCCACAGGTGGAAACAACAAAAACTGAACTTGCATAAATACTCTATGAAAAATGTCTGTATGAATTCAAAGATAGAATGAAATGTCAGTTTCATGCAATGCCATCACTCTCAATGAGAGTCCCAAATTTTAGTTTACCTCAGGATGGTGTGTACAAATGATGTGGAGCAACAGGTTTTCACTTTACAAGAACTTGCCATTACACTTCAAGGCAATGCTGATAAAATGCCAGTATATTTCAACATATAATTTAATTATACTATCAGACAACAAAAACATTCAAGTGACTGTAATGTTGACAGAGTTGGCAGAGAGCATGAAACTACTGCCATAAGAGATACTAAGCTGAAAAGTTATGCCTAAGGCACGGGTACTTAAGGGGCCAATAATGATGTGTTAAACTACCTAACTGAACTGACAAGGGACCAGATACAAACTGTATGGAACAGAAGACCAAGAGTATTGTTGAGAAAGCAAGGTATTATTGTGCTGGATGCATTTAAAGACCATTGAACACTGGAGGTCAGATTCATGATTCAGGAAATGAATGCCGATTTTGTAGTCATACCTGGAGGGATGACCTCATAACTACATATTTGAGTGAAGAGATCTTTTAAGGAACATTTCAAACAACTGTATTCTGACTGGATCTTTGGAGAGGACCATGTTTTGATACCAATGGGAAAATAAAAGAGGTCTAGTGTAGACCTGTTCTGCCAGCATACCAAGACCATGGAAACGTACATCTAAAGTGGTGATAATGAAACGATTTAGAAAGTACTCTAAATCTGATGAAATGGATGGAAGAAAGGCTGTGGAAGGTGTTGGGAATGTGGGCAGTGAATGGAAGAGTGTGAGACACAAGATGGGGATTGCAAAGACAGCAAAGCTGACACAAATGATAGGAATGGTGAACACAGAAAGACTTGTGAAGCTGAATAAAGGATACTCACTTCAAGAAGGAAACCAATTCTATAAATTTCATGCATATCATATTGTGGCAAGTCCACTGTAGCCTGGAACAGTCTACTCAGCAGAGACAGCCATTGTTGAGGTAACAGCTCTGTAAAAACATTTCCACAGCACCCAAGTCATGTGACCACAGTTGTGCTTAAACAAAACAGAGAAACACGTCATGACATGTCATGTCTGCGTCGGCAGTGACATCATGCGAAAAAAGAGAAATTGTTGGGAAGTGGTGTTTTCTGTTGGGTCCATCCAGAGATTATATCTGAAAAATCAAAACACAAGCCAGTCAGTCTAGGAGTCTGCAAGCAGACCAGTCTGAGTCTGAGGCTACTGTGAGACAGCTGCCCTGGTGGAGGAGCCCCCACTCTTGTAAGTCATTGCATAAGAATGCCAAATTAGTCATGAAACAAGTTGCTGGACAGTAAGGCCGTGAACACAGAAGATGAGGAATCTACGGTGTGCGAAGAAGTTACCCAGAAGCGGGATGAAGACACAGCAGACTGAGACTTAGTGCCTGCTGTAGTCAACTGTAGAGTGTCTGAATTAGCAACAGCATTATAGTTCCTTGTAGTTACAATCTGTAAGTGTTCAATAAATCCAATTAACAACCCAAATCCCATAATCACATGAGAGTATTTTCTAATATTTACTTTATTTCGCACATTTTTAGTAAGAGTATGAGGAGCCGGGATAGTGCAGTCGATATAGCAATTGGCCATGGGCTGGATGACCAAGGAGTTGGAGTTCAAGTCCTGGTGGGGTAAGAATTTTCTCTTCTCTAAACCATCCAGACTGGCTCTGGGGTCCACCCAACCTATCCAATGTGTACCAGGGGCTCTTTCCCCGGGAGTAAAGCGCAGGGGCGTGAATCTGACCACTCACCTCCAACTAGTGCCGAGGTCAAGAAAATGTGGATCTTTACATCCACTCCGAAACATGCCTTCATGGCGTAGTGCTTAATTATTTAAAGACAGGGACAACTTTACACTTTTTTACATTTTTAGTAAGAGTATGAAATTAATTGATAAAATTACTTTTCTGTGAAGACTAGTTTCCCAGTAAGGGGTCATCTTACATTTGGAACCATCTTCCATTTAAGTAAATACAGCAGAACACTGACAATATGGCAACTATTAGTTAAAAAGAGAGGAAGAACAGGAGGAGAAGCTCAAATTCAAAGATAATTTTCTCACAGGCCTAGTAAAAAATAAATAGTAAGCTGACTAACAAATGAGATGCACAAAACATAGCCAGAATTTAGGTTTCTACCAGCATCCTTTCAACTGCCAAGCATAAATAATGGTAAAGTTTTCCTTACAAAATAGAATAAAAACAAATTTCTTGTAGACAGTTACTGTATATTGTACGCTACATTCCTTTTGCAAATGTACATGTTCATTCTTACAGGTTTTCCAACTACTGGAAGCTAACTAACCAACCATACTGCATTTTAAGTAACTACACATGAATCAAGGCTAGTAATGCTCAGTACAGCATGTCATATCCATAAGACTGAACTGTAGTGATAAATTATACATGATAACATATAACATGATATACCACAATTAAACTCAGGAAACAGAGTTCCAATTCTGATGACAGAGAACCCAGCTTACAACAATTGTTTTCTATTTTTTAGTATCTTGAACTCTTCTTTGTGGGATTCGGTGAACATGGTTGGCCTTAAATTCAGTCTTGAATAATACCCTTTCTGCAACAAGTACCTTCAGCAGCTCAATGTCTGTCTCTGTAGCGTCGATCTCTGTCTCTATCTCTATCACGTCTTTCTGTTGTTCTTCGCAGAAACTCCTCCACTGAACGGTCATACTGCAACAAGAAATTAATTATTTGTATTTCTATGAATGGTAGTAATCAACGTTTCTATATAAGGATCAATGAACAACAAAAGAAAAAAAAACAAAAAAAAACTCTGTGGCTTTAGTCCGCAAGCAAACTATACCGACTGAGCGACCACCTCTTGTTGGCCAAGTTAGTGCCAACTTTACCAGACTGAGGGTGTCATGTGGTCAGCACAATGAATCCCCACAGCCATTAATTTCGGTTTTCTAGACTGGAGCCGCTATTTCCTTGAAATAGCTCCTCTATTATCCTCACAAGGCTGAGTGGACCCCGTTCCAGACTCACTACTACTCAGAAAATGTGGTAGCACCGGGAATTGAACCTGGGACCTCTGGATTTGTAGCCAGGAACTCTGATCACTAGACCACAGAGGCAGGCCTCAATGAACAAGAGCCCACAAAATAAATTTAAGGTAGACACCAAACACAAAACTCAGCAATATCATGATAATTCTACGTATATGCCTTAAATGGACAAGCAACCTGTGATATTTTACACAGAGGGTGGAATGCTGCTCAGAACAAAAAATCTTCCAGTCACATCCTGGTTCTGCCACAAATCAATATTATAAATGTCCTCAAGAATTTCATACATAGTCATAATCATAAACACACTCTAAATGCAAAACTAAAGAAATCAATAACTGTTAAGTGGACAAAGTTTTGGACATCAATACATAGTTACACTCTATTTTCATTTCATTATCAACGATCCAAACTTGAAATTTCAGATTTATTAACCAGTTATAAAAATATAAGATGAGTGAGTCATTGTAAAGCTTTTGCCACAACTACCCGTTGCCATTATGGACCAAACTTCTCCAGCGTGACCCATCACATCTGTTTCTCGTGAAGTGAATAACATAGAGCAGGGGTGACTTCACATCAGTGCAGCATCAGTAAGTATACAGGAAGTGTTATGTAGTTTGTGAGAGCTGTGATAGTGCAGTCAGTACAGCAATTGGCTATGGGCTGGACAACCAGGGGATCGGAGTTTGAGTCCCAGTGGGGGCAAGAATTTTAACTTCTCAATGTCACTCAGACAGGCTCTGGGGCCCACCCAGCCTCCTATCTAATGGGTACCAGGAGCTCTTTCTTCAGGGATAAAGTAGCCGAGGCATGAAACTGACCACTCACCATAAACTAGTGCCAAGGTCAAGAAAACATGGGTCTATACATAAACCCCCCCCCATGTCTTCACAGCATAGTGTTTAATTAGTCAGGAATAAGGACAACTTCTTTTACGCAGTTTGTATCTAACATGCATTACAAACTAACCACGTGGCATATATGACAATGTAAGTGCAGTGGATGCCTTAACTTCTTCTGCTTATTCAGTGTATAAATTTTTTTAAGGTTCCCAATCAATATGTTAGCTTTTGGGAAAGGTCTAGCTAGTAAAGTCTTCTCTGTTTTCTGGAAGTGTAAAACTGAAACTGCATACCAAAGCACAATAAAAACACTTCAAAATACTCAATAAGCAAGTACTTACAGACCGTTTGTCAGACCGGGCTGACCTAATTGTGGATGGATATTCAGGTAATGGTGGTCCCTCATAGTACCGTGGTGGTGGTGGTAAAGAGTCCACAAATGGGGGCTATAATTAATTAAGAAGAACATGGAATTATCACCAACATAACTTTCTCTGTAATATGAGTATCCATAAATTCAGCAAGTGATCTTCATATATTACATATTAGGTCATTTGGCATGTGTATATTCAGAATTAACTTCTGAAACACTGATTCCCTTAGATATTTCATAGGAGTCATTGTTCAGGCAATTAGCCCTCTGCTGGCCTCTACCTACACAGAACAGAGAAATGTGGACATACATCCATCCCACCAGCAGGATTCACAATCCCACCAATCTGAATAATACAAAACCTTACGCACTCTTGACTGTATAACCACTATGATCAGCTCAGCAACAAATATGCCTTTGTAAATTGAATGAATCATAATTTTGCTGTAACAATAATTGTGCTGGGACACAACATATATGGAATTTATGAAGACACATACTTAAAGGGAAAGAAACTTCAAGTAATTTCCCACCAAGAAGTTTTAAAAATATAACTGCATATTTATATTCATAACAAATGACCGACTTCAAACAGCTGCTTTATACTCTGCAGTAGTATCTGTTAAACAGAATTATATGAGTGATGTATTCATCTACTGGAATCCTGAAGGTGTTTCATGTTTAAAACGTTTCTATCATAAGAAAAAATGGGGCAATTAACATAGTTTTTTATTTTCCTGGATAATGGTACCTTTCGCAAAAAGGATGGTATTTGGAAGCATAGTTACTCCATACAAAGAAAAATTAATAAGCTATCATCAGCCTATAAAAACTGCCTTCACAGTCTTCAAATAGAACTCTGTTCAAAGCAACTATGTGAGACATCACAGAAAAACTACCCATTAAGGTATCTTTATATCCAGGATAGCGCAGTCGGTATTGCGACTGGCTACAGGCTGGATGACCGAGGTCGAAGTTCATGTCCTGGTAGGGTCAAGAATTTTCTCCTCTCCATGTCATCCAGACCAGCTACATGGTGCACCCAGCCTCCTATCCAATGTGAACTTGGGGCTCTTTCCACAGAGGTAAAGCGGTAGGGACATGAAACTGACTCCTCACCTTTAGCTAGTGCTGAGGTCAAGAAAATATGGATCTATACATCCACTCTCCCTTTACAACTTCATGGCATAGTGCTTAATTAGTTAAGCACAGGGACAACTTTACCTTCAATGTTTCCTTAGCTGTGGTTATGGACACTAAACTAAACAAAATTTTAAATGGAAATTATTTAACACTCAAACTTATGACCTGAGATCAATGAAACTAAATTTTAAATGAGGAAAAACCTCGCACTGAGAAACAGTGAATTGGAATCCACTGTCATCCATTATCACGGATGATGTAAACTTCACCTGCCTCTGACATTCCTTGGAAATCACTATTTATTATACTCAAACAGTTCTTACATCAGAAACATTACCTTATTACACATAACTAGTGGTACAGAGAGGGGACATATCACAAATGGTACCCTAAGCTTTCAGTCCCTGTCCTAATTAAGAAGTTTAACTGGTGCATCAAGATCAATACAATGGATAGTTTATTTTTTCTTGGCACTCAAGTTTAAGACAGTTCTGGGTATTTAGATATTGAAAACAAACATTCTCCCTATGGATGGATGTAATTTTTTTAAATTATCAAGATAAGAATGAAGTTTGTGGTAAATATAGTGAAGAGACCAAAAACTAAAACGATATCATATGGACTAATCTACTTTTACTGAACTGTTACAAAAGAGATATTTACTTACAGGAGGTGGGTAAGGCATGGCTGTGAGAGGTGGGGCACCTCGGGAATGTAACTCTCGCATGAAGTCTGTGTAGTTCTGAACACCGTTGAAGGATCTGCTGTCACGAGGAACTGGAAACCTGACTGGTGACCTTTCCCGTCTCCCTTCTTTGAATAAGTTTGACATATACATTGTTGGACCTATTAGAAATAATGCCCTTTTATGAAAAAAGAAAAAAAAAAATCTAAGAAAAATTAACAGAATCATATTTGAGATATGAGGTCTCTTGATGGTGAAAGTTGAGACTGTGGTCTTCTGGGTGAGGATAAAAGAAATGTATAGGGGTTACCACAAAATAAAAAATGGTTTCTCTCACTGAATTCCCAACTGCAAATTACTCATGCCTTACTTAAAGCCATAAAATAATTAGGAGATATTATTTACCAATTGAATTAATGCTGCCCAATCAGTACAACTGTTGTCTAACTGTATTTCCTCCTGAATTTTTCCCACTTAATATTGTACAAAAGAAACTGCAAGTTTCTACACCAAGATGTCCACATTTCCTCATGGTAGGACTGTAATGGCAACCAGAACCAGTTTTATAACTTATAGATTACTACAGTAGTACAACATTGTGGCCCCTGTTAATATATTATGTAAACTTTACTTATAAGCATGTTACTACATACTGTCTTTCATGTTCAGTGAACGAATAGGCAACTTCGGCTTCTACCAGTATTAATGGCAGCTGTGGTTCCCCTAGCCTCTGATATCTCAAACCCAAGTATTTTTCAGGAACATAACCCTCACAATTGGCAAGAGATTGTTGTACTTTCAATTTATAATAATAACCCTCAAATTAAGACTTAATTTTCCATACAAGTTCCTATTCACAATTTACCAAACATGTATGAGTGATTAGATCACATAAATATATCAAATGGTAAATTAAATCAATGATCACACCAGAATGCTGGTTGAGTAAGAGACCTTTCTCTTTTTTATGCAGTGTCAGCAGATTTGCAATCTGAGCTTTCTTTTATCTCCAAAGAAAAAGTTGAAAATAGAATTCCATCGGCAGTTAACCAAAAACTGATTTCCAATTCCCAAATGAGATAATCCAGCCATTACAAAAATAAAACCAATTTCACAGAATATCTTGAATTTTCCACCTTTTTCTGTTACATATGGATACTTGCAGTAAGGAGAAACAGTGTGAGATTCAAGTTTCTCATTGTGGTGACTATGAGCATTCCTGTCTTCTGGTATATAGGCAATGTAGTTTGGTAGATAAGTGCCAGCACTTTAGAGACACCTGCTGCTTCCATCTTCATAGTTATTCTCCTACCTTGAGGAAGTAGGCAGCTGGTTCCTCTAAAACGTTGGCACCCATCAATCAACCTGCAAAGCATCACAACCCAGAAGAGAGTAATCTTCAAGGTGATTGAGGTTAGAGCATTTATATAAAGGCCAACTGACAAAGAAAATTATTTAAAAATAAATACTTCATTCATCCAGTAAACATTCTCAGTGTAATGAAGGCAAACCCATTACACTATGAACATATCTGCTGTCACTCACAGTGTGAATTGTGTATATGGCAAAACCTCACTGTCACAAAATTTAGCAATCACACTTTCAGAGTTTGTTGGTCCAACTACATACAGGTACAAAAGAATATACATTATGGACATTTTGCCCACTTACCATATTAGCCCAAGGAAATGTATTTTGTTCAAATTCTGTTTCTCAAAAAGAGGGGTGCCTAATTTTCAGGTACTAAGAATAAATATGAAGACTAAGGATTTCTAACTCTAATATCTCTGAAAATACCTACAATTATATTTAAGGTACCAGCTTTGAATTCATTTCTTAACAGTACAGTTTTTACTTATTTTTACTTGCAAATCTCAGAACAAAATGACATATTCAATTTTGTAAAAAAAAAAAAAAAAATGTTTCTTTCTTATTTTCTCACTTGAAGAACAGGGTGCTGCTTTATATTTGGGCTTATATGGTAAATGGCATGCCTCTTGAAGCATACATAATTCTTTCTGGCAATACTATTAATTTCATTTGCTACTGGTGTTAAGGTGCCTGATCTGTATGTACCACAATTTGATGAACTTTCCATGTAACAGAATTAATTTTCTCAGCATGAGTAACACTGAAAACAGAATGCTAGTGAAATTATGTCCCTACACAATACCTGCAAGGAAAAACTATTAAAAGCATACAACACTAACTGTAAAGTGATGGCTGCTTGGAATTTTGTACACCTCAGGGATAGCAATAGATGAGCACACAAATTGCATACCTCTACTCCTCTTTTGACGTGGATCATACTCATCATCCATGTATCTGCGTCGCCTTCCCCTGCTGAGGTGATCAAAACACAGTTAGTAAACATTTAAACACACAAGAGTACTGCCTTGTTCATCACTGCTCTGTTTGTCTGATAAATAAATACTACATAAATGGTGCTCTGATTAGCTGTGTAACAAGACACATTCTACATATGTGCATTAAATGGATTACAAATATGACAGTGCCTTCCTTTATATTGCAGACACAACAGCATATTTGCAAGTAAAAGCTGCAAATGTCAGCTTCCTTTTTATTCCACTTCACAAGTTTTTTGCATGGCTTACAGAATATGGGCATGAATATTAATTATGGAAGAAGACTGACCAATAAACACATTACTCATTACTTTTAAGAAATGAGACTCATCAAGTCTGCTTGTTGTAACACATTAGACTACCCACTTCAAATCTCAGCCAGTAAACCATATGCCAGTCAAGGCGCTTTTATTATCCTCTTCAGTTCTTTCAAGAGCATCCTCAAACAGTATTACTTGTACAGAGCCCATAGCAACTTCCTTCCTGGGTAGCAACTATGCACATACCATCATCATATAAACCCTCTATCCATTATACCACTTAATTTGCCAACAAATATAAACGAGTGACAAAAATTTTGAAAAACTTCATCAGTATGTATTTCCGTAATTTTTATTGTTCCTACAGAGTGATACTTTAAAAAACAGACATTTCTCAAATTGACTGGTCAATTATTTGGTATGACAGACACAGGGTCTATTTAATGTTAGCGACATGTGCATACCTCTTACCCAAAAATAATGGAACTAACACTTCTCACATGCTCTTAAAAAGACTGAGGAACATAGTAAAAATACCTTGTTTGGCATATATGTCTTGGTCAGCATGGGTTGATGCCATACAGTATGATGTACTAATACCATTAGATGAAGCATAAATAGATAAATTAATTAATCAGAAGGAAGGGTTATGATCATAACCCTGATATCCATAACATTTATCCTGTATTGGTATAATCCAATAAGTAAAGTGAACAATATTTCCGACGAAGTACTGTCCTGAGAAAAAACATCTACCACGTCCAGTATTTTTGGTCATATGGCAGATGGAATGTTCCCACAGTAACATCTACATGAATTCAGAAACATAAAGATATACAACAAAATGTGAAAAAGGTGTCTACATAAAATAATACAACACAGAGTGCTTCCGTTAAGAGTGAATGCATTGACGTCATAAGAATTCATCGTCCTAAGTTCAAATTTTGAAGAAAATAGTCCTTAACAAAGCTATGGAACCTTCCTACTTATTAATAATATGATAATGATATTTCAAATACACCATGCATTGGCAACATGTTAAAATTGAATAAGATCTAAAAGTTTGTAATGATGGTAAATTGTTACAATTAATATGTTGCTGGACATTATCCATCATCTTGTCTGTTCTTAAAAAACCGTCTAGTTTCTATTAAAAACACAACGTTTCGGGAACTGGAATCTGTCCCCGTCTTCAGGTAAAACCTACTCAGTTGGGTCCAATAGACAGAGCTAGCCCCTATCTCCGGACAACTATGCCAGTTTCAGAAGGGGTACATAAAACAAGCACAACATAATCCATCTGTGAGAGCTAAGAAATATTGAAGCTATCATATTTGAGGCATTAGCACCATTGGACCCAACTGAGTAGGTTTTACCTGAAGACGGGGACAGATTCCAGTTCCCGAAACGTTGTGTTTTTAATAGAAACTAGACGGTTTTTTAAGAACAGACAAGATGATGGATAATGTCCAGCAACATATTAATTGTAACAATTTACCATCATNCATATTAATTGTAATGTTAAAAGTGGTTAAAATTTTTTTTTTTAAAGTCATGATATTTATAATTTAATTCTATAAGCAAAAACTAGTATTTTTTTCGGAAGCTGCATGTGTTTATCCAACATACTGTTCAAGACCAGGCTACATTACTTGACTGACAAATTAAAATCTTTCATAATATGTTGAGGCAGGAACACAGAAATTATATATACTGTGTATGTATATGTATATACATACACACACACACACACACACACACACTGCCTATTAAAAAAACAATTACTTATGCATTACTTACAGTATATTCTGCAAATGGAACAACCCTCCTAAAATCTTTGTAGATAATAAACTGTTGACTTAATTCTAGTTACGAAAATGTTCCTTGGGAAACCATATTTTTTGATTTCTCAAAATGCATACATATCACTTCTATTAACAGCAAGGACAACTAATGTCTTGCAGCAGAACTTGGAGATCTCACCTTGCTAATATCACAGTTGACAAAGCTATTTCAAGCATTCACAATGAGCAGGGTCAATATCTGGAACCATTCCAGCAAGATCGTGCACCTGTTCATTAAAACTGTGGAGTGAGAGAATGGTTGAATGAACAGTTCCCTCAAGAATAGGCTGAAGAAGGGGACCAGCGAAATGGCCATCATGATCCCTTGACCTTACTCCTCAAACACTTTTACCTTTGGGGGACATTAGGTTGTGTGATGTGAAAGAAGGCATTACTAAGCACCTCCAAGAAAACTGTTACTTCATGCAATGAAATCACACCACAAAAAATTCAATTCTCTTCTAGTGCAAAAATATTTACACACTTCCACTATCATGAATATTGGACATGCTGAGCATATTCTGTTAACTGCTGTATCAAACTTCGATACTGCCCATGGTTTCAGCCTTATGGAAAACCTTATAGAAATTTCAGAAACCAAAAAGAATAAATAGGAAAGACAAAATTTATAAGTGTGTAAGAGCACAACCAAAAAATACGCACCTATACATGGGCACTAATGTAATTAACACATTGCGGACTGGACAGGCCATATGGCCCTCTACGTTTCCAAGCATTGCAGACCGGGCGGGCCATATGGTCCTCTACGGTCACGTTATGTTGCAAAACGCTATATATCGCTGTGTGGCTTCGTTGAATCGTAACTACTGCGTAGATGACCTCGGGAATGATTGCTGCCTTATCTAGTAACTTGACCAGAGTCTTTCCTGTCACAACCTAAACAAAATTGGCTTTGTTCTAATCCGAGCTTGCACGTATCAACCATGCACCTACCAGTTCAACATGGCTCAGAGATGAAAGCAGTTGCGATCTCTCGGAGGACAGGAAATATTAGATATGTTTCTGATGAGCTATCAGATTTGCCAACTGCTTCGTCTTCTGAGAGCGAGGCCATTATCAGTGACAGTGACAGTGACGGGGGCCACAGGGCTGCCCAAAATGTGTCAAGTGAAAGTGAGAGCTCCGTTGAAAGTGCGAGTGTCGGGACAGCAATACCTACTTTCAAGGAAAGTACGTATTTGTGGTACAATTAGGGTGAACAGAGGCCTCCCTCCAGATCTGAAAGAGGAATGTAAACACCTGAAACGTGGCGACACCGCATTCAGGAGGAAGGAGGACATTCTTCTTCAGTCCTGGAGGGATACTCGCATTGTGAATATGGTTTCCACTATTCACAATTCGAGCATGGTCGATGTTCAAAGACGACACGGGCAAGTAAAGAAGCCTCTTTGTATTTCCGAGTATAATATGTTCATGAAAGGAGTTGATAGGGCCGACCAGTTCTTGGTCTATTATTCCTACCTAGGAAAACAGTAAAATGGACGAAGAAAGTTGCACTGTGGCTTATAAACTGTGCAATTTTCAATTCATTTACGGTTTTCAAAAAGGTGAACAGAAATTCTACTTTGAAATACAAAGCATTTCTGTTGAAACTGGCAAAAGCTTGGGCTACTGACGTCACGGTGGCGGCAGTACCTACATCAGACACAGACGTAGCGCAGCCGGGGCCATCTGTTCGCACCTGCTGGAGGCCTCAAGTAGACCCCCCTGGCCGACTCTCGGGTGATATGCGGAAACATATTCTCGTGAAAATTGTGAAGAGTGAATATTGCAAGAAGAAACACCCTTCTAGGCAGTGCCGTGTGCGCACAGCACAAGAAGAGTAGAACTGCCTAAATGTGCAACTTCTGCGTAATGCCTCTTCACAAAGGGGAATGTTTCCAGAGATATCACACGCGCAAGCACTCCTAGGAGCTCTGGTGTTCTCAAAAAATTTCAGTTTATAAAATTAATTAGGAGATTTTATATTAATTTTTAAAGTGAACAATGCACATGTTAGGGTAGTAGGTTTAAAAACGCCGGTCCCCAGGGTGATTTAAATGTTTAAACCACCGGTCCGCAATGTGATAAGAAGGGTTAGCAACACACAATGAACTTGTTAACCTACTTTCATATTCCAACAATGTTCTGAATAAGTGAAAAACTGTAAACTGGTGTTAATGTGTGTTAATGGTGCCAGACACAATGAAATAAATACAGCTGAACATTCATGCCTGTACCTGGATTTCTTAAAGCAGAAACTGCTACTTGAAATCTTCAGGCATTGATCAAATTTCAGCAGAAACAATCTAAGCAGAAACTAAAACATCAGTTAAGTCACAGACACTATTATTCAAAATAATGAAGAAGAGCCACCAAAGTGGAAGGAATGTACTGCTGTAAAAAGCAAAGTTTTCCCTACACTCTATTAAGCATCATGTTAAGATGTATCCAGGAGTGGAGGTATAACTCCATCATTTTTAACCTTGGTTATACATGGAGGTGCATGGCCAGCTTCATGCCCTTGCCTCTTTACCATCAGGGAAAGAATCCCTGGTATACATTTGATAGCACGCTGAGCACGCTCCAGTGTTGGTCTGGATGCTGTGGAGAAAATAAACCTCTAGCACCGGCCAGTAATTGAAGCCCAATTCCTCAGTTCTACAGTACATAGTCCACTGCTACACCAAATGAACTATCCCATTCATTCATGCAAGGCTGTATCTAATGTTCCTCTCTCAAGATTAACTCTCTACACAGACAAATTTAAAGGGAATCATCTGCGGCAATTACAACTTAACAGATCAACTACTAATCTGATAGTCCATATTTTTTTTAGATATAAAAGCAAAAATGGGAGTACAATGGGACAA